CCTGCAAAGAACACGGCAGATACTTTTAAGTAGATAGTGACTGAAGCTGGGGCTGCTGGAACTGGAGAGGAGCAAACTTTGTCACTTATGATGGACACCTGTTGTGCCAGATGGTGAGCCTGAAAGGAAGCGAGGAATGGCAGAGGGGACCCTCTGTGCGGCTGCTGGAGGTAAGGGTGACAAAAGGGAAGCGTGAAGGACACAAGCACCCCCCTCATCTGAAGGAGTTGGAGGAAGGTGTACAGCTGAAGAAGTCCTGGCTGATCTGGCGTGGGTAGCCCTCCAGCACTTTCACCTGGACTGGATCGAACTTCCAGTAATCTCGGCCTCTCAGGAAATAGGCAAAACCTGCGGGTGAGAGAGAAAGGGTTAGGAGAGACAGGGCTGGCACAACTCAGAGCTCTTTCCTAGTGTTTTGTCTTTCCTAGCATTTCGTGTTGTTGACACTCTGCAGCATGTGCAGTACCAAAAGAGAGCCTGGAAGAGGTAGGAGGTGCTGCTAAAATTAATTTCACTTGAACCCAGGTTTGCAGCTTACACTGTTTAACTTTTGATGGGAGAATAAGCCAGATTTTATTTTATATTCCTGGTGGTTTTAAATACGCTGTACCCAGGTAGTGGCCCAGCCCCGAGAGGGCAAAGGATGTCTAGGACCTGAACAGGGCCTATGACAAGGGACTTGTGAAGATCTGCGGCAGAGCTTCTGTTACTGTGGGGAAGCTGCCCTGAGAGTTAGGCCCTGGAAGCAGTGGGAGCTGATCCACCACATCCTTTGGCAGGAGGGAGGCAGCCACCGCATCTGCCATCCCAAGCATCCTGGCTGTCCCCATTGTTTCTGTGGCACTGCCATGCTGTCTTGAGCATTGGGCAAATCTGGGAGGACTAGGCAATACCAAAAGCAGCCTGTTCAGTCAGGACAGCTGCCTGGGCTGAGGCATGGGCAGTGTTTCTGCTGTCTTCTCATCACTTCCTTTGTTGGGAGTGGTAACAGCTGGCTAGGACTGTGACCATTTCTTAGTCAGAAGTTTGAATTCTATGAGAATTTTATCTGTTGATCGTTGCAATTAATAATGATAAAACTTCTCACTTTTATGGGAGAAACCTAAGTTTCCTACCCACTGGAGGGAGCTGCCTCTCTCTCTCCACTATATGGCATGTGCTATGGCTGGGAAGTGTCCCCTACTACCAAATGTCTCGATCTGCCCAGATCTTCCAGCTGGGCAGTGGTGTCAGCCTGAGCACCCACCCCAGAGCAGGCCAGTTTGCTGCACTGACCGAACTCATCCTGAAAAGCCGCATCAATCTCCTGAGGAACGCCGCGCCAGTCGGCCATGGTCCGGGGATAGATGTTGTCCACCTGGCGGGTGTGAGGGTTGAAGCGCCAGTAGTTGCCTCCACTGAAGATGTAGATCTTGTTTTTCTCAGCCCCCCACACCAGAGCTGCCTGCACAGGGGATGGAGGGAGACCCAGCTCCACAATCGGGGTGGGACCAGATACCCGTCTCTCGCCATCATAAATCCAGTACTGAGAATCTGGCAAGGAGACAGAAAAGGGAGATAAGGGTTCAGAAGCTCTTTGGTGTCTAATATTCAGCAGTGAACCATGCAACCAGAGCTGGTGCCTTGGCAGAGCTCCCAGGGAAGCTGTGCCTGTGAGGCAAAACCCCACCAGTGTCACGGATGCTGCCACAGACAGGTGCCCAAAGTGCCAGCAGAGTGAGGAGTTGACTACCCACCTCAGCCCAACCCAGAGGATGTCAGCAGTGGGATGAGGAGACTGTTTTAGCAGCTGTCTTTTCTCTGTTTGTGGAAGTTATACCAAAAGACTTCATTGGAAGGACCAGCCCCTACCCTGCAGTCTCAGCTCTTGGAGGAGAACGTATGTGGGCATGCACAGGCATAAAGGGGGCATGCATCTGTAAAGGAGCAAGCTACAGAGACCAGGAAGAAGCTGACAAGCTGAAATAGAGACTGGAAGCATACTTCCAGATTAGATTAAAATGGGAATCTCTGTAATTAGCCTACGGCATGTAATACTTTCCCCTGATCTCATTTTAACTCATGGGAGAAGCCTGCCAATTTTAGCACTGTAAGTCCTTGGGTACGGATCAGGTGCTAAGTGATCTATTTATGCAGGAACACCGCCTGCAGAGCCGCGTGGTCTGCTTTCTGGTGCTTGGTCTCACGGTGCGCAGACGGGGCGTGCACACCCAGAGCAGCTGGGTACCTACGTCATTCTGCGTCCCCACTATGAAATTTACACTTGGAAAGAGCATTAAGGAAAACAGTGGAGCTGAAACAGGGGTTGTTGCTGGTCTTGAACTCCAGAGGCAGCCAAGAGGAGGTCTGGCCCACCATGGGTGATTGGTTTTAATCCCCGTGGTGGCAGGAGGTTGCCTGGCTCTGCACACAGGCTCCCTGTAGGCTCGTTCAGTCTGGCGGAACCACACAAGCTCTGCATCCAGGTCTCTGAGGAGCAGAAAAGATGCTGTCCATCCCCTGAGCAGGACCTCAGGGGCACAGGCTCAGGAGTTTCACAACCTGTGAAAGTGTCTGTGGCTCTCTTCTGGCACAATGTTTCCCAGGACAACTGAGGGGATAGAGCAAAGGTTTCCTTCCTCCTCCTCTGCCAGCAGCATTGCCAGGGCAGAGGCTCAAAACAAACATTTGTGTTCCAGAGGAGGAGAAAGGGATATCTTGGCTGTGTCTAAAATAAAAGTGATCCCTCCTTCTCTTTTCCCCCCTCAATATCTGCTAAAAAGCTTAAACTAAAGAGAGAAGGAAACAAATAATAAGGACCACTGGATTGCTGAGGATGCCCAGAAGGTTCATCTTCCCAGGAACTTGTTGGGTCCTGAATACCCCTCAGTAAACGAGACGCATTTCCGAGCTGTCTGATCCTAGTCCAGCTCTTACCTTGGAAAAACCAGATATTGCCCAGAGGGTCCTCGAAGGTGGCATCAACGGCGCTGGGGATCCCCTGCCAGTGGCGGGGGG